GGATGCGTCGGGGTGTTGGAGTTGCTCGCCTGCCTTCGCCACGTCGCGGACGGCGTGGTGATCACGATTAATCAACCGGCCACTCCGTGCCTCTCGTATCACGAGCAGGCCAACGATAACAGGAGCACCACTCACGACTCCATATGCAGCTTCAGCCACTCGAGCGACGCCAACTTGCCCCGCGACGCCAAGCGCAAGTTGGAGAACCTGCACGAGTACAGCCTTCGTATCAGGACCGAGCTACGTTCCCTGGACGACACTTTCGACTACAACGCGCTCTCCGTATGCGGCGGCCGAGAGCTCGTCGCGCCCCCCTCCAGGCGTACCCCCGATTCCAGGTTCAGCCCCGATTTCGACTACCTGTGCGAGCGAGCGCTCGATCCTCGAGAGGAGGAAAATCAACGCGAGGACGAGGCTGATAACTGGCGGGCCGAAAGCAGCTCCAGAGATCGGCCGTTGTCCGTGATCGCGGCTGAGCCGGAAAAGTACGTCAGAGCGCCGACTCCTATCCCTCGCGACGAGGACGACGACGAGGAGGAGGACGACGACGACGACGACGAGGACGACGACGAGGCGTAGAGTTCAGGCGCGTCGAGCGACGTGGGCACGTCGTTCGACAACGATTCGGGAAACGAGGCGCCCACCATGAGATCGTTCGAGTCGATCGTCGAGTCCCGATACAAGCCTCGTTCCGAGATCATCTCCTTGGTGGACGAGTCCGATTGCAACGAGCAGGAGGGAGGAAGGGGGAGGGAGGTTTCGAGGACGGAAAACTCGAGGTTTCTCGAGAGGAAAACTTGGGACGCGGTCGAGGTCGAGGGCGAATCCCTTCCGGGGAACAGGGTGGTGGTAGCTAGTCAGAGAAAGAGGATAAAGTCGTCGAGCACGATAGTGAGGAAACCGACGAGGTTGAGATCGAAGAACGCGGAGGTGAGCAAGTCCGCGGAAAATCTGTCGGCGAGGGCGAAGGCATCGAAGAGGCATCGGGAACCCGAGAGGTGGAAGTCGGATATCTCTGTACGAGCCACGACGAGAGACGAATGGACCAATACCTCGCCCCCTCGAGAAAGCCCCGCGACGTTCTCGCCCAGATCGAAGAGCGTGTCCGTCCAGGTGCAGACCAGCTTCGAGNNNNGGAGGAGGAGGAGGAGGAGAAGCTAATGGCGAGCGGTGCGAGCTCGTTGGAAGCGTCGAGGGAACTGGATAGCTCGAGGGATCGTGGCAGAAGATCGTTCTTTAAGAATAGAAGATTCGGTTCGAGGGACAAGGCCGGCTTGGACGACTTCTCGATGACTAACGCGACCCCCTCCGTGGAGGGATCCAAGAATGATGAGGCGCGTCTATTGAAAATATCCAGTTTCGAGGAGGCGGACGAGGAGGATTACGAGAGGATCAAGAATATCCTGTCGGACTCGGAGAGCGAGAAGCGGTGGAGGGGGAAGGGATACAAGTCCTTGTCCTCGCTCGAGGACGAAGAGTATTGGGACGCGGAGGATGTGAGTGCGGGAACCGGGCCGATACAATACTCGATACCGGATCCCAATCGAAACAAAGCTTTCTGGGTAAATGACGCATATATGAAAGCTCCTCCCGTCTCTCTCTCCGGATACACTCGTTAGTTGCACCCAATTATTTACTCGCTTAACGATGAAATACTACTCCCCAAAACACGCACGCACACATACACGTTTCGAATCCGTGCTCGCTCGAACTCTCCCTTCCCTTCCCCTCAGGTGTAACCAAAAGATCGATTGCTCCTTAAACTCCGTGATTTTAAAACTTTCTCGAAGAACCGCGTTTCCTTAATAAAGAAGGTCTTGCGGGTTTAATTAAATTTGTACGACCCGAGTGTGTAAATAAATCGAGAAACACGCGTTCCACGAAAAACGATCGACGCAAATCGCCTAGATCTTCCTTCGAATATCGTTTGTTAGATATCCGATTTGGACGAACGAACGGCGAATCGGTTTTTGGACAAACGAGATCGGCGAGATCGGTATCGAATTTGTTCCGCGAAAAGGGAAGAGAAAGGGAGAAAAGGAGAAAAGGGAGGAAAGAAAAGTCGCGTAAGGAGAAAGAAAAGAACNCGCGTTGCGCAACGTTTCGCAGCCTCGACTCTCTCGCCGAGGCCAATGCCGAGACCCGCCGCTATTGTTGTTTCCAAAGAAGTTGGGAAACGCTTGGAATAATAACTCACTCACTGGCCGAAGGGAGGGGGGAGGAAGAAATGCGACGTGGGGGCGTGGAAACGAAGGCGATATTCCCGATATTCGCGACGGTGCGAAACACTCGCGGTGGCGTTGGTTCGCCGTTCATTGGTGCCGTGTGCCTCGCGTGGGGTCTCCCAAAATATCAATCTCCGCTTGCAAATAATATCGTGTGTATATGTATATTATATACCTATATACATATATCGCATGCGCGTGTTTACAAGACGCGACAATTTTTCATTGGATTTTTCTTTCCCCGCTAGAACTCGAGCGATCGAATTTTCTAAGAGAATTCTTCTCTGCAAGTTTCTTTACAAGGGGGACAATCGTCCTGTGGATCCTGTTAAAATCGCTACTGTCGTAACAAATATTTCTCGAAAAGGATATTTTCCTTTCCAGAAGTCAAGTCTTCTGGATGTATCGACCACTACGAGAGATCTCGCAACGGTATCAGCGGCGGCAGTGGTCCACTAATTTTGGTCGACCCGATTTTTCACCGGGTGTTATATTTTTAATCGGCCCTCTTCCGGACCCCTCGACCGATATTATGTTACCGGCCGCCGCGATTCCCAAACCGCGTGGGCGATCACGTCCTCCTGTCGCGGCCGATTTTCATTTCCCAGGCTATTTATAAAGTCGGCCGGCGTTCCTCGAATATCTCCCCGATGGAGGGACGCGATTTTACCCGTGAAATCGAGCGATTACGTTAGCGAGGAA